AACCAGGGAGACGCTTGGGCATCCTGAGCCGCTGCAGTGCCAGAGCCTGCTCCGTGGGGAGGGCTGGGAGCCCGGGGATGGGCACTGGGAGCGCAGGGATGCGGATCCGCGCTCGGGGCCCTCCGTCCTCCCGTCCTGCCATGGGCAGAGCAGCTCCGTGCGCCTGGCTCTGCCCAGCGGGGCCAGGGGCTGGCCGGGCGGGTGGCCCTGCGGGGACGTGGGAGCAGTGGACAGCTCCGCGCCGACATCCTCCTCGAGGAGCAACTCGAGGGATAACTCGGAGCGGATCCTGCCGCCCACCCCAGGGAGCGCCTCCCCTTCCAGCCGTGCGCTCCTGGCACCAGCAGCATCTCCCTCCGAGGGAAAACCACCCTGAGCAAGGCCGGGGCACCCCGGGACGCGGCTCTCCCCATCGCAGGGCTCCTCTGCGCCCCAGGCTCCCGCCTCACTCCCTCAGCCTCGGGGAGAAGCTGCTGCACAACATGCAGCTTCGCAACCCGAGTGAAGGAGCTCGTTGCAGGGCTCCGTGCTAGAGCAGAGCATTGACAAGCAGAGACCTGCTCAGCTTAGGAAGGAGGAGTAAAGCAGAAGTTCTAACCCCCCAGGAACAAATCTTACAGCATCTCAGTGCAATTGTATCGGCCGCGCGGTGCATCCCGCTCTGAGGGTGAGCGCTGGGGGCTCCCACGGCAGCACGAGCTGCTCCTGCAGCGTCGCTGCCCGGCACGTGCCGGGGGAGCAGAGCAGCCGCTTCCCAAAGAGCCCCCGCGGGAGCTGCATCCGCACGGAGCCGCAGGGAGCGTCCGCGCGGCCGGCGCACTCACCGCCTTGGGCTTGAAGGGCGGCTGGATCTCCTTGCGCTCCAGCTTGTCCCAGTCGATGTAGCGGAAGAACGCGTGCTCCTTGATGTCCCGCTCGCCCTCCGGGCCGCAGCCCAGGCGCTTGGCCGGGTGCTTGGTCATCAGCTTGGGGGAGAAAAAGGAGAAACGGGGATTCGCGCCGTGCCCGGCTGCTTCGCCAGCAACGGGAGCAGCGTCACCAGGATGTGAAGCCCTGGGCTGCTATAACAGAGGTGATGCCAAGGCCAGTGCCCAGGTGAGGTGAATGACCCCTCTGGCAGCTCTCCACGTCCCTGGGGCAGAATGGCAGCATTCAGCCCGTTCATACCCACGTACGTGCAGGTGGATGGTAGGAAACGCCGGACGGCGACGCGGGCTCGGGCGAGGGGCCCTTCTGTGCGCGCCGGCGGGTCGGGACCCGACGTGCACCCAGCGAAGTGCACACGTGAACCCCTCCTTCCAGCTCGGTTGTGCAGAACCTGATGCACCCACAGCACTGAATGTAGTCTACGTTAATTTGCTAATGAGCTTTTCCTGGCCAGAAGCCCACAGCGTACCTGGCAGCTCTTTTACACACACGCAGACCACACTTAAATGCAAGCATTGCTCTTAACCCCCGTTGAGCACAGACACCCACCAAAGCAGCCGCAGAGCAGCTCAGCCTCGGACCTGCCAGTGACTCATGAGCGATCCCACACGCGGGCAGCTGCCCGCGACGCCGCGCAGCATTTCCAACACGTGCTGCCAGAAACGAAATTTTCCTGGGTCCCTGTTGTGCTTTTATTCATGCCAGCTTGGAGGCACCAGCTGCTACGGATACACCTGACCCCGTCAGCACGCAGGTTGGTGCTCTGGGATTACGCTAGATAATCACTTAGCATTGTTTGTATTAAACAGGAACAAGTTGATTTAATCCCCAGGCTAATACATCGCAAACCCTCATGTTTCCGTAGATGAAAGAGGATGCTCCGGACCCCAGATCACCCCAGCTCTGCTCCTGTCCTGCTGCAAGGGCTGCAATCGCTGCTCGTGCGGCTGCCATGAGCACCCGTGGCCAGAAACACCCGTGCGGGGGCCGCGGACGGGGCTGGGGCAAAGCGCGGCGCGCCCGCCGCTTTCCTGCAGAACTAAAGGCATTTCCAAGGAAGCAAGCACACTGCCCAGTGCTGGGAAAAGCAGCAGCCACCGCTTCGGCCAGGGTCTCTCCTGGCCCATTCCCAACATCCCGATGGTGGCGGATGCACAGTCAGGATCCTGCTGCTCCAGCCCTGCTCGCAGAGCCGCTTCCCGCGGCACGCGGGGCCCTTGGAGACAGGACACGGTTTGTGGCAGCTCCCCTCCAACTACCAGGGCGGTTTCTAAACTAACATGGGGATTTTAGCACATTTTACTGAAATGGGCTGCCAAGTGACCTGGAAAACGTCCCCTCCCGCTGACCCACTTTGAGCGCGGAGCCCTTCCAGCAGCACTTCCCCTTCGGACAAGCAGACGCTTCCCTGCGTGACGCTCGCTCTGGACCCTGGCGGGAGCGGGGACACACAGTGCAAGCGTCGTGCAGTGTCACTTGTAGGCAGAAGCACTCTTCAGGAACATGCAACACGCAGCTATTTTAAATATTAATTATTAAAAGCAAACGATTAACAATTTCCTACACAACTGGACAACTCTGGGAGTGTCAGATTAAACCTGTGCACTGACTGCCTGGGAAGCGGTTCGTAGCCATCGCCCCAGACCGGGCTCCAGGCAGGTTCATCCATCACCTCCCAGATAAAGCGGACACAGACAGGCCCAGCTGCTGTTCCGTTATTCCCAGCACACACACGAGCACTGCAGGCTCTGGAGCAGCGAGCACGGGGGCTGCAGGCGCGCGGGTTTCGGCTGCACCCGCAAGCGAGCGCGGGGAGGTTGGTGTCCCCTGCGCGGGCAGTGTCACCAGCATCGCCCCCCGCTCCTGCCCACGGCGACACGGGCCCTTACCCCTTTGCAGATGGCCACCGCCTCCTTGGACATGGACTTGGGGTAGGCCACGTTGTGCTCCATGATGGACTGGAAGAGCTCGTCCTCGTCCTCGCCCTCGAAGGGAGCCTGCAGCAAAGAGAGAAGAGCCTGGGGGCACGTCCTGGATTTCGCCTGTGTCTGTTCCCATGGTAGGAAAACCGGCCCCGTGCCGCCCTGGGCACTGCCGCGCTCCCGTCCCCGCCGTCCCCAGCCTCCGCTCGTGGTGGAGCTGGACCCCATCCGTGCCGAGGTTACCTGGCCCGCCAGCATCTCGTAGAGCAGCACGCCGAACGCCCACCAGTCCACCGACTTCCCGTAGGGCTGGTAAGCGATTATCTGCGGACAACAGAGAGAGCGGGATTGCGCTCCCGGCCCGACCCGCGGGCACGGCGCAGACCCGTGCCAAGCTGCAGCCCAGCTCCAAAGGACAGGGTTATTCACTGAGGCTTGACCTGCCAAAATGGTGCGAAATCATGCATCTAAACAACACATTTCTCAGGCAAAGGGCTCAGTAGCTGAAACATAACCCACCCTCAGATGCACACTAAATATTAGACAAAAATGGGAATGCTCAGTGTGAATTTGGGCAGATTCATCCCAGCGCAGGCCGAGCTTTGCCTTTGCTCCGACATAGCGCAGCTGGTTTGGAGGAGCGAGGCAAGGCCGGCGCTGCCGCTCGCGCTCCCGTTC